TAGAGATGAGGTCTCGCCTGCCCAGGCAGGTCTCGAACCCGCGGGCTCAGGCAGTTCACTTACCTTAGCCTCCCAAAGGTGGGAGATTACAGGCTAAGCCACCGAGCCTGGCTAATACTATTATATTTCATATACTATTTGTAAAGATTTATACTCATATTTCCAGCTTGATTTGCTCCTTATAGCTTTTTGAGTTTCACTCTTCCACTTGGTATTACTTCCTGCCAGCCTAAAGTTCATCTTGTACATATCCCTTAATGATAGTTTGCTGGAGGCATACTTTCAGATTTTGCTTGCTTGAAAATGCCTTTTATTTCATGTTTATTCTTTGATTCTTTCATTGTGTATAGTACTGGCCTAGCAGTTATTTTCTTTCAGCTGATTAAAGATATTGTTCTACTGTCTTCTGGCTTCCTTTATTGCTGTTCAGAAATGAGCTGTTAGGGTGAGGCACAGTGGCTATCACAATGATCATAAGATCCTTGCCTGTTATTCCAGCAGTTTGGAAGGCTGAGGTGAGTGGATTACTTGGCCAGGAGTTTGAGACCAGTCTGGGCAAAAGAGTATAAACTTGTCTACAAAACAAACAAACAAACAAAATACATTTAAAAAATTAGCCTGGCATGGTAACATGCTACTTGGGAGTCCCAGCTACTTGGGATGCTGAGGTGGCAGTATCACCTAAGTCCAAGGGGTTGAAGCTGCCATGAGCCGTGATTGTCCTGGTCACACCACTGAACTCCAGCCTGGGTGACAGAGACCTGGCTCAAAAGAAAGAAAGAAAGAAAAGGAAGGAAGAAAGAAAGAGAAAAGAAATTAGATATTTCTCTTTGTCTTTGGAATTCTATACTGTTACTATGATGTGTCTAGGTGTGGATTTCTTTTTATTCTGTTTGGTATTTTCTGGGCTAGATGCATTTGTGAATTAATATACTTTTCTGGTTCTGGAAAATCCCCATCTATTATCTCCTCAATCATTTCTTCTGTCCCATCCTCTCTTTTCCTCCATGTATCCTTGA